CAACTAGTACAGTTTGCTAAGGATAATGGTTCAATCATAGTCTATGATTCTGCATATGCCATGTATATGTCAGATGACAATCCTCGCTCAATCTTTGAAATCCCGGGAGCCAAAGAGGCAAGTCTGCAATCGATAATTTGTTTGCAAGGTTCTTGATTCATAGTTTTGTTGAAGATTTATGTATGGAATGGATAATAAATTGGAGGATTTATATGCATTGTGGTGGATAAGAAGCCTAATATATAGGAGCATACCACATCTAACTCGTATGTTTTATGTTTCTGTATCAACATTGCAGGTTGCAATTGAGACATCATCATTCAGTAAGTATGCTGGATTCACTGGAGTTCGTCTGGGGTGGACGGCGGTCCCAAAGCAGTTGCTCTTTTCAGATGGATTTCCTGTCTCCAAGGACTTCAACCGCATTGTTTGCACTTGCTTCAGTGGTGCATCAAACATTGCCCAAGCTGGTGGTCTGGCTTGCCTTTCACCGGAAGGCATTAAGGTCCGTTCTTCTGTATCTCGATTGATTCTGAAGTTTCATACTTGAAACCCACCTGCATGTGTTGTTAACTTGTTACAAGCTTTGCTTACATTTGTTTGATTTCAACTCCTTGTAGGCTATGCATGATGTGATTAGTTTCTACAAAGAAAATACTAGAATAATAGTGGACACATTTGAGTCTCTTGGCTTTAAGGTGTATGGAGGAAAGAATGCACCATATGTGTGGATTCACTTCCCGGGCCGAAGCTCATGGGATGTATTCAATGAGATTCTTGAGAAGATTCATGTGGTTACCATACCTGGGATTGGTTTTGGACCTGGTGGTGAAGGTTTCATCAGGGTTAGTGCCTTTGGTCACAGGAGAAATGTTTTAGAAGCCTCTGAAAGATTCAAGCAATTATACAAGTGAAGTGACTCTAGAGTGGTATCTGCAGCCTTCTATTTGAATCGGAGATCTCAACATTTGCCTTCATTTCTGTTCTATGTTGTGTGCACTAGTGAACTTCTGAAAGTTGCACGTCATTATTTAGATGTTATTGCAGCATTTGATTTAATCAGCAGCGTGTACATGTTACACTTTACTGATGTAATGCTTGCATTCAGATCAGAAGCTTGATTTCTAACTTATTTTGGTTGCCGAGTTGTTTTTTCAAAATAAAGGGCGGATACTTCCTATCCTGCAAATCAAGATCTAGCTCTCCAAAATGGGTATTTTTTGTACTTTTAGAAAACACAGCTGCAGGAAAAAACCACAAAGGCTAAATTCCAAACTGAGAATCACACTGACAAGGGGATAAAAATATGCCGGTTTTTAACACTTCATTATAGCAAGAAACATCTGCATTTTCAGAAGTCCTTCCAATTACACGTACGTATAATAGTACAATGGACAAAACCTACTTTACATGATCTGAATAACTAGTATGGCATAATTACAGGAAACTATTCTACACTAGGGTAATATAAATATAGTAAACGTTCAGGAGGTGATCTCTAGAATACAAAATTAGACACCTAGAACTGTTCGATACTATCCATAATCTCTGCTTTGCAAGTCTCTGCTTTGCAAGTTGTCTTGTAATGTCCAGTTTGGTTACACCGACTACAATGCACAGTATGTTTCTCACGATTCAGGTCCTCTACACAAATTCGTTTCTTTTCTGGGCGTCCTGGTGGTCTACGAAACTTAGGAGGTCGCACAACTCGACTATCATCATCCACACAAGCCTCATCTGCCTTTCTCCATTCAACTTTTCCAGGGATAGGGTATATCTGTTCAGCATATGCCTCACGGTAACTTGCAACAGTAAAACATTTCTCTGTAAAGGCGTATACATCTTTTCGACAGGAGATGAAGGCAGCCACAGCATGGGAACATGGTATCCCATATAGCTGCCAATCACGGCAGGAACAACAACGGGTACCAATATTCACAATGTCTGATCGGTCAGCTGAGAGAACCTCAAATTCTACTTGATCAGAACGAAGGACCTGATATGTGGATGCATGGCCGATGGCTTCTAAAATATTCTTCTCAGCGGAAGGAGCAAGTACAGAAAACCAAGAATTACTCTTAAAACGCCGTTCTTCAAACTCAGCCATCAATCTAATATGAATCGTTGCAATCACCTGGATTATGGGCAGCTCACGAGCTTCGAGAATCCACGTATTGAACTCCTCAATATTTGATGAGAGATGACCATAACGTGTTCCTTCAAAATACACTAATGCCCAGAGGGAAGGATGGAATTGTTGTAGCCATTTTGCAGCCTCCGGAGATACCTCCTCTATTTCAGCCATTTTTTCTTTAAAGCCAAACATGGTAGTGGCATATGCAGCATTCCATAGAAGATGAACAAGTCTAGAGTTCTTAAACTCTTTTCCAATACTTTCACTCAAGTGGCGCATGCAAAAAGCATGTAATGAATTGGGGAATTTTCTTCTTACTGCATCTGCAATGCCCTTGTGCCCATCAGATAAAAATGTGAGCTCCGGCATATTCTCAGTGTTCATCTCCAGCGCCTTATGCAACTCTGACAAGAACCACATCCAGCTCTCATCAGTTTCTACATCAACAACACCAAATGCTAGCGGAAATAACCCACCATCAGCATCAAAAGAAGTTGCAGAGAGTAAGGTACCAAGATATTTGCTTTTAAGCTGGATTCCACCGAGCCCAATGATGGGCAAGCAACCATTCAAAAAACCACAAATGGACGCATAAAAGGACACAAACAACCGCTGGAACCGATGATCCACGCCAGTGGTAAACACCTCTGCAATGCTTCCAGGGTTGGTCTTCTTTATTTGCTCACAATATGACGGAAGAAGGCAATATCCTTCCTCAGAAGAGCCATAAATCGCAGCAAGTCCTCGTTCCTTTGCACGCCAAGCTTGCTTATACGGTATAGTTATCCCATATTGCTTATGGATATCATGCAATATATCCTTTGGTTTGTAATTAATGTTATCCCGCAGACGTTCTTCTATAAAACTGACAATCCAATCAACGGAAGCCTGGTGGTGCCCATTGTGTGCATTTCTACCACAAGTGTGTGTCCCTTCAAGGCTTCTTATTGTAAAGGTTGGGGCATTAGGAAGCTTCACAGCACGGATGCGCCATGGACATCCATCTGTCGCACACTTCGCAAAGTAGCGGATAAGGTCACTTTTTATGATACGAAGCTCGAAGTGTTGAGCAATTGCAGCTTCTTTAATTGCATTCCTGAAGGCCTTGACATCAGGGAACTCTTGACCAACAACAAACGTCTGGCCCTCCATGTGGCAAACAAAAACAATCAAAAGCTGACAATCCAATCAGCTTGTTGAAATTTCCTTCAACGCAATCGTCAACTATTCCAATGTTTAGCTTCCTGGGAAGTGAAAAAATAGATGAAGAATACGACTGTCATTTTGTTGCATCTGACTGGAAACTCCCTGAGGGACATTCTCATCGCTAAAAGCCTACAAGAAGCCAAGCAATCATATTTAAAATCAGACAATTGAAATCATTGTTTTCATCCTAAAAAACAAAAAAGACTCGAATGTCTACGATGCTCTCTATATGATTCATATCAATGGATTGACAACAATTATATAACAAAATGTGCTCATATATTTCAACAATTCTCTCTCTTTAGTAAAGTGCACAAATGACGCTCATTAATTCTAAAAATTTCATACTAACCAGCTGTACTAACTGGGGCACGTTGGCTGATCATTTGGCTTCAAAATACCGTACAAGTTGAAAGATTTTTCCATTGTCGGTAAAAAATAAACGAAATTTCAAACAAACAGGCTCTGTAATTAAGATAAAATCCAATTATCATCACAACAAATATGCCATACCCAATTTATAAAAATAAAAAATACAGCAAAAATAAAGTATATTTATACATTCAAACCGTATTTTGGGTTTGCAGCTAAGATCTGCAACTCGTATTTTCTAAGGTCAGAATCAAATAGAAAACAGAGCAATTCATTCACCCCTCGTACATACAAATATATACATACATGTTAACGAAAGAATGAAGTTCGCATAACTGACGTTTGAAAGCAGAACCAGGAAATCAAAGATCAAAGCTTGACAGAGCAAGATCGAGGCAGTGGGGATTTCGACATCAGAGAGAGGAGAGAGAAAGGGCGAGAACTCTGTTGGTATTCTGACAAAAGATTAGGGTTGATTAGGTCACATTTGGAATATTTTGACATTTCGGCTACCAAAGATGGGTATTTTCGTCATTGGAACCCATTGACACGGACGGACGAATGTATTCGAGTTTCGAAACCCAAATTTTATTTATTTGAGAACCGAAACCCAACTTTTGTACCGAGATCATCTCCAGGAGCCCAGGGTCCCAAACCCAAAGTTGGGCGAAATGTAGCCCGAGACCATCTCCAACGTAGGATTCCGACGGGCCCAAATTTGGGAAATGCCCACAATCGCAATTTGATGAACAACACATCCTGCATTTTGTTTTTGGGACTGGTGACCTCATTGGACTTGGCTATAACCACGAATAACGTGTTTGCGTTTTGTTTATTTATTTTTTATGACACAAGTAACGTGAAAGAGGAGAAAATCGAACATAGGATTTCGAATGTCGAAGTAAATTCTTTTAATCACTTGAGCTATAAGTTCTTTTGCGATAATGTATTTGCTTTAGGAAGGTGAAAGAGGAGGAGATGGAAAGAGATACATTTGTTTAATTTTTGTCACAATTGATATATATATTTTAAAATTAAGAGCTTAATCAGAACGGGAAAACACAATCTCAATTCTCCCAAATATTTCCATATTCTTTACTTTTACAACAGCCATTATTATTATTTTCTTATTACATTCGTGTACAATGATCCTATTCGTGTTGAAAAAGAAAAATAAAGGAATTTATGGATTTTAAGGAATATTTAAAAAAAAATTGAAAGGAGAAAGTTGTCCTTTTATGTCAAATTACATCCCCCTACCCTACCATTCATGCACGCAGGACACAGCACACGGCAGCCACCCTTTTGGTTCTTCGCCCCTGCTACCCCTAGTTTTTCTTCATTGCTTCCTTATTTACTTCTTCTTTTCTAACCCCCTCCTCTTTCCTCTTCCTCCTGCCTTCACTTTTCTTCTAACCCTCTTGTTTTTCACACAGTCCTCTCACAGTCCAAGTTCGGGTCTTGTAGGGGTTTACTCAACCCAGTGCTCAAAGGGCCAAAAGGTACTTCATTTTCATTATCTAATCTTCCAATTTCTCTGCTGAAAGTTTGGTGTTAATTTATTATTGCTCATGTATTTGCAGTGGTGATGTTTAGGGTTTATCTATTCGATTGAGAGAATCATTGGCATGGCTAATAATTGCAGAAATTTTTATTGTAAAGCAAACTAACCAGCCAACTTTGACCCACTCAGCTCTGTTCGTTAGTGCGAAGTTTTTAGAATTAATTAGCAAAATGTTAAGTCGTGATTGATGAGTTGGTTGCTTACTAAAATGTAGTTTGTGTATAACAAAATGAGTTTTGTACTATGAGTATGAAAATTTTGCTTTTTGTTTCATTCTTGCTGTCCTCTTTGTTGTTGTTGTTGTAATTCTGGTCTTGGTAAATTTACCAGTCTGGCTAACTGTAATGATTCATAATGCAAATTGAATGTTGTATTGTTAACTGTTTATCATACTAAATGTTAAGTCTTCTCTCACCCCCAACAAAAAGATAGGGGATTGCAATTTTTTTATGTTTTCTTCTTGTTTAGAGCAATATATGTACTTCTTGTGTTCTACTGATCTATTCTCGGCCTAATAATGGTAGTTAGCATTTTTTGTTTTATGGTATGGGTGTTTTCTCCAATTGCTCAAAAACAGAGTCTTTTAAGTTTGAATGGTCATTGATTAAACATTTTCTTTCTCATTCAGCGGTTCACCATGAACAACCTCTCGTCCTTCACAACTCTCGACTCTAATCCGCTCTCTAAGCCTCACTCATTTGGTCCTTACCTCCACGGGCCCATTCACCTTCAGCGCCCCAGAAATGTTGTCGTATGCTCGGTGAAGCCCTCAATTGCCACTCCCTCACCTCTAAGTGTGTCTGGGTCCCCTAACCAGGGGTTAAGTCGAATTGAGTCTCTAACCCAGGTCTCGGGTGTGTTGGGCTGCCAGTGGGGAGATGAAGGAAAAGGCAAACTCGTCGACATCTTGGCCCAACACTTTGACATTGTTGCTCGTTGTCAGGTAACAGAAAACTCTCACGTTTATAACCAAATTTTGTAATTTCCTGATTAATTCTTGTATCTTTTTAGGGTGGAGCAAATGCTGGACATACCATTTACAATGCGGAGGGAAAGAAGTTTGCACTTCACCTTGTTCCCTCAGGTATCCTTAATGAAGAGACTCTTTGTGTTATTGGGAATGGAGTTGTGGTGCATCTTCCAGGGCTCTTTAAGGAGATTGATGGCCTCGAATCTAATGGCGTCTCCTGCAAGGGAAGGATTTTGGTCTCTGATCGTGCGCACCTCTTATTTGATTTCCACCAAGTAGTGGATGGGCTTCGAGAATCCGAGCTTGCTAAATCTTTCATTGGCACTACCAAGAGAGGTATTGGACCTTGTTATTCTAACAAGGTTATCCGAAATGGTATTCGAGTTAGCGACTTGAGGTACATGGATACTTTTCCTCAAAAGCTAGATCTTCTATTATCAGATGCTGCAGCAAGATTCCGAGGTTTTGACTATGGGCCCCATGTGCTCAAAGAAGAAGTTGAAAAGTACAAGCGATTTGCTGAGAGATTGGAACCCTTCATGGCCGATACTGTGCTTGTCGTGAATGAAGCCATCTCTGAGAAGAAAAAGATTTTGGTCGAAGGGGGCCAGGCAACAATGTTGGATATTGACTTTGGAACTTACCCCTTTGTAACATCCTCTAGTCCTTCAGCCGGTGGGATTTGCACTGGCCTTGGCATTGCTCCCAGAGTTCTAGGTGATCTGGTTGGAGTGGTAAGTAGAATGTTACTCTTGTAGTTGCTGAATTGATTTTCATTTGACTGATGTCATCATTGTCATCCTTGCCTTGCCTCAATGAAATGGGATTGGAGGGATCAATTACATGAACAAACTGTATCTCCAACTAAATCTATTTTTTCAAACAGGTCTTTTATATTATTTGTTTCTTGCTATGCTTTCTCCTTGCATATAATTTTGGCTTTACTAATGGAATCTGTATCTAGGAGTTGTCTGGTTGAAATGTCTTCAAAGGAGACAGAACATCATATGGTAGTATTGGTCATGACATGTATTCTTGCAGTTAGTACAAAGGTCAATTGAGATGGTGAAGTAATGTTGCTAACTTGAACTTCGTCTCTGCAGGTGAAAGCATACACTACAAGAGTTGGTTCTGGTCCTTTTCCCACAGAAATCTTGGGTAAAGGGGGTGACCTCCTTAGGTTTGCTGGTCAGGAGTTTGGCACAACTACTGGCCGCCCTCGTCGTTGTGGTTGGCTTGATATAGCAGCATTGAGATACTGCTGTCAGATTAATGGTTTTTCTTCTCTCAATCTCACCAAACTTGATGTTTTGTCGGATCTTCCTGAAATTCAGTTGGGTGTTGCCTACAAAAAAACTGATGGTACACCAATCAGATCATTCCCTGCAGACCTTCGTGATCTTGAGCAGTTAAAGGCATGTTCTTTCCTCTCCCTTCTATTTGGATATGCTGTTTATAGTTTTGCTAAATTTTCCGTTGGATAATTTATACTAATTTTTTCTTAGTAATCAAGTCTCTCGTTATATTTGATATCTTAAAAGAAAAACTTCGTGTTAACTCTTGTTGATGCTATTGTTTTTCTAAGTTTTGGTGGATATTTTTTTATATCTTGGAAAACACACTCTTGTTGATGCTATTTTTTTTTCTATGTTTAGGTGGAATATGAAGTATTGCCTGGATGGAAGTCTGATATATCTTCGGTCAGAAACTATTCTGACCTTCCAAAGGCAGCACGCCAGTATGTGGAAAGGATAGAAGAACTTGCCGGCGTACCCATCCATTACATTGGTGTGGGGCCTGGTCGTGATGCACTCATTTACAAATAATCATCACAATATTTCTTTCCTTTAGATTCCAGATGATGTTCAAACTACCAGAAGTAATACGGAACTTCTGGTGCTGGAAGGATTCCCCTCTATGTTGGGAGATTTGTTTTTTGGGATGGAAGTAATTTTTCAAGGTTATGAACTTGATGCAACGCGTTCTCCACCCAATGGGGCCACATGAATTCTATGCTCTGTTTAGGTGTTGGGAGAATTTTGTTTCAGTAACATTACTTGTTGTAATGCATGCATTGCTAGGATAGCAAGTTGGCAACAATTTGAAGTTGAGAGAATAATGTGGTTCATGTTTGTAGTTTACACATTATTTGATAGCAGGTAGCATCTACTGCCTGGCCTGATCTCTTTAGTGGGAATATATTTGCTCTTTTGATCAATGTGGGAATATCTTTTTGGAGGGAATCTTTATTGCTTTGATTTCTATTATCAGCTAAACAGGATTAAAGAATGTTAAACGAATAATAAATTGCAATTACCGGAAGATTCTTTGTGCTAATTATCTGAAGTTTCTGGATCCTGATATATGTAATTCAAATGTGTTTAGCTGAGTGGGAAATCTAGGAACACAATTTTCTTAGATCCAAATTCTGGAGCTAAATTCTTTGATTTTTTTTACTTAAAAATAGTATTTCAATGTTGTGGCCTAAACCAACACTTAACTTTTTACAACTTTTCATAACTTTTGTTGAGTGGTTTTATACCTTTCATCCGTTGAGAGAGATGGAGTTCAGTATTATTTCTTGTTGTCTATTCAAACTGCCAACAGCCGTCTCTTATTTTGGCTATGCTTGACTTCTAATCTAGTGGTTCATTAGAAATCCAAAAGTTAAACACATTTTGAAGCTTAATTACTAAAATCTTAAAGACAATGAGTAATCCTTAATTTTCTAGAAGATTATTTGAATTAGCAGTCAAAGTTAACCATCACAATAAGAGAATCCAAATTTCGTGCTAATGCAAATGTCTTTTGAAACCATGCTGATTCTCCTTCGTAATATACTTGAAATTTCTAATGAACTCAAGTCCTAAAAGCCATACTACTTTTGCTTTGCAACCTATTTGCACATTTATACAACTATCATCACGAAAACTTGTCAATTTAAATACAGCAAAAGTAACTATACATCTGTACATCACCCAAAATGAAAATGAAGCAGATAAACTTATGCTGTACTCTGCTAGGCACCATCTCAAGAGATTAGGCATGCTAGCAACTTTCCGCAGACTTGCCGTAGCTCGACCGAAGGATCTGTCGAAGATATACTTGACAGTACAGATCTTGCTTCTACTAATCTTCCTGATATGGTTTCTAAGATTGCATCATCACTAGCCATAAGAGACCCCAATAGCTTTGCACCTGCCATCTTTTCCTGAAGAACAATATGGGCCATCAGTTCACAAATTGGGTGTTTATGAATGCCAAGGCATGGAGACAGTAACTAATATATCAAAACTGTGCTCAATACCTTCTCTGATCCTTTTCTAAGAGCTTTTAATGAGACTTCAAGAAGATCAGCTGAGTAAGGAAGAACTGTAGATTTCAGATGGTACACGGATGAAAAGAGAACCTGAATGCATGCAGCTCTTATCTCTGAGTTTGTCATGACCTGCAGGTATTTGACACCACATTTAAGAATGAAGTGAGACAAAGCATGACTTTATGAACCACAACAGATTTCGATAACATGATAATCTACTGATAGTGAAATAAATAATCAAAATACCTTAACAGAATGGATGAGACATGGAAGAGTTTTTCGAACAAAAGGCTTTTTTCCTGAGTCCAAAATCTTTTGGCAAGCACTGATGAGAACATTAGCCATGCACATATAAAATGAGAGTGGAACTGGCACCTCAGACAAGCATTTCACATCATCCAAGTTGGATGATACAACAGGTTGGTGGTTATCTTGTATAAGTGTATTGATCACATATGTGAGGACGGAGTTTCCTGATGAAGCATCACCTGCATTATGGATCATAAAAGTCACATGTGCCCTATAAAATTGAAGTTCATACTTAGGATAATGCAATAACCAAGATCACCTTTCTTCCCAACAATGCTAAATGATTCTGGATCTTGCAGCTCAGCACATATCATCAGTGCCAGGGAATCAATGCACCCATGCTGTGCTTTAGATACTGAGGGGATAGAAACCTATCAGCATCAAACTTAACCAATAGAAACAAAATTGATACGTGTTTGAGAAACTTTACTTATCACACACCTTCATCCCCATCAACAGAAGGCCATAAAAGCATTGTCTCCAATGTTTTTCTGATTTTGAGCATTAAAGGATGAGAAAGTGATTCCCTGCCTCTGACCTATCCATGACAGGAACCTCAACATTAGATCAATGCAAATAAAACAAAAGATGCCTGAGGTCATGGCAGAAGAATAAAGCACAAAACTCTGCCAAGATATTGACCATAAAAAATAATTACCACAAGGGAAGTGCAAACTGAAAACAGACAAGCTTTAATCTTTAGTATATCCCGAGAACCTGTAGCAATTTCTAGCTGGGAGCTGACAACTGGAATTAGCACCTACAATATGAAATGGCAGGTACATATTAAAATATTGGTATTTTATCCAGTTCAACACATACAGAAGCACAATCAACAAGAAATTAGAAAGCAATAACCTAATACCGAAGTACTAACTGGTTCATCTTCTTCATATACAACGTTTCATATGGATACATGAATTCGACTTCTTAACTTCCACAATCACATTGGAGGTAGATTTTAATTTGTAATTGCTACCACAAATAAGATGCGTGGGTATAGTTGATATCCTTTATGGAAAAATGAAATGCAAGCTGATGAGCAAATATTCTGGAATCATTCTTGAGCATTGAAAATGGATGAAACCCAATTGGCAGTACAAAACTAACAGACCAATAAACAAAATTTCCAAGGATCCAAAATCAGAGAATTCTTTCTGAAATGCTGATGGATTCCCAAATGGATCTTAGCTAACGCTATAAGTTGGCACATCCAATCTATATGTTCATAACCCAACTTATTTAGAGTCAAAATGATATAAATAACCATACTGACTAATTACAAGAAACAACAATGAGCTTCTTTAATGGTCAGTGTGGAAGTTAACAGAGAAGTAGGCAGGTAGATAGACATGCGATAGTGCCAATACATTTTTAAAACAAATTTCGGTCACATACTTATTTGCTAGTTAGTACCACACATTGATAGATTTGGAATCTTGATATAGTTGCATTGGCACTGCTTTAGACCAACGGCTGCTAGTCCAGTTGAAAGAAAATCTTACATAACTGATAAGAAAAGCATAAAAGTGTACTCGTGTAGTTCCACAGAGATAAATGCTTTGCTCACTTAATGTCAAAGCCATGCTAGCATAACAAGCAGAAACGGCAGTTGCGATCCACAGAGGCCTCACATTTTAAAGCTCTGAATAGATTGTTTATGGATGCTAACATGCATATGATCACACAACCAAGTTGAAAACCTTATTTTAGAATATATATATCCATGAAGGCACAAATCAGTCTTCCTGGAACATGTAATGGAAGATGCAGTCATAATAAATAGTAGGCAATAAAAGTCACTGTTATATACTTTGGGATGAAGACGCCCACAGAGCTCAGCAGCAAGTTTCCGTACATCGTTGAATTCAAACTCACAAAATGTCCTGAAATAAAAATGTAACCAGAATAAAAAATGAAGAAGTCAGATTCCAGTCATATGAATGAATCCTTCTAACATTGATGGACTAACCTTTTCAAAAGAAGAATGGTAACACAATCCTCACTGATGGCATTGATATCTCCACAGTCTGAAATTAAACAGAAATAGGTTAAAACCAGAAGTGCGTCTAGAGAATTTTTATAGATGTTTCACAAAAATTATGCAGCTATTGGAAAAATAGTAATTATGATTTTACATAACTGAATTTCACAATGTGGTAAGAAGATCTGTACTACTCTCTCTCTCTCTCTCTCTCTCTCTCACACACACACACACACACACACACCAGAAACCATATACCTCTTAGGTTTTCAAATCAGCAAACTTGTTTAATATGGAGATGGAGAGAGAGTATACCGTGAAAAATGCCTTGATTGAAAAGTTGTCCATACACTATAGATGAATTAAGGTCATTAAAGACTCTCAGTGGAAGCATCCTAATTATGAGTAGTGGGCAAAGGTGTTCAAAAAGGGTCTGCTGCATTTTTTCGGAGTCATCACTTCTATAGGTTTGACACTCCTGTCCAGAAAAGCTGTTTTCATCAGTCCTGAAAGAGAGAAAGGACAGAACAAATTAAAGAAGAAAACTTTAGCATAGAAAGTTGAAAAAAGTCTTCAAATAAGCTGAAAAGTAAAGAGAAAGATACAGGAAGTCACTGTATAATCACTAGGTACTAGTATAAACTGCAGACGGCTAACTAGTAATAAGGATACAAGCCTTATATTTGATAAATGCTATATAACATAATGTACTTACTCTTTCCGTCGCTTAGCATGCAATAGAACACAAGAGAGGACTGAATCCGCAGCTTCTGCCAAGTGCTCACTTATATAACTCAAAAACTTGACAATTGTTGCATTTGATGGCTCTGCAAACATCTTCTCAATCAACAGTCCAATCAAGACGTCCCAGCTTTGAACCTGAGATAATTCAAAAGATAACAAAAGGGCTGAAACTTTGTACGAAACAAATGACGAAACGACCAAAATTTGAGGTTTCATTTAAAAAGCATGAAAGAGATATAAAACATATTGTGGTAAAATCAATCTTACACTTTTAGACCACTCTGGGATCAACCTAAGCACTCGATCACTATCAAATTTCGATCCTGCAAGTTGCAAATGGAAGAGCTCAATTTCGAAATAGTATTTGGCAATAATAGAATTAATCAATTAGAAATTTTAACTATGAATACTTGATGCTCAGTTGCTCACCACAAAAATGGAAGAGGAAAGCAAAACTAAGCTTCAAAACTACCTCATTACTATTACGAACTTCCAAATCTTCGGTCCATTTAAAATCCACAGGGAAAAACAAAACAAAAAAACAAAAACAAAAAAAAAGCATAAAGGAAATATATGTTCACACAAAAATATACACAACTGAAAGCATTTAATATTAAGCATCCGAAAGAAACTCTGTCAGTGTAGGATGTAGAAGAACCGTGTTCTAAAGATGCAGAATTTATGTTATATTTATAGTTGCTATACTCATTGTTCCATTTGGTCTTTAAAGAAATGAAAGAAACCGAAGAAAATTAAGATCTTTACAGTTTAATTTCTCCCATGTAAAATTTGCTCTATTGTTGTAAGTCATTTGAACATTATAGTCCAGACATCATCATATAGATAATTAAAGAACAGTG